TTCCTCAATCCCTTTCTACCATCCATAGCTTGAAAATATCCCTCACTGCAAAAATCCCCAAAGCAAACTTTGATTTTTGCCACTTTATAAAAGGGACACCATTTTATTAGCCATTTTAAATAATAGAACTTGAACAACTCTTGATTTTGGTGTCCAAGGGAACTATATCCCACTCAAGGATATGGTACTATACACTCCGTTGCATATTCCCTGGTTTCTCTTATTGAAGGACCTGGTATGAGCTATAAACACCTGAAAACCTCATTACTTAGTCTACCCAGCATGGGTTTTAACACTCACTGAAACCACTAATCACTGTGGAAATTTGTAGGAGGAAATTCAAGGGCCTTTGGAATCAACAGTCTCATATGGAATCAGAAAGGTACTTGTAGAGTCAAAATTATAAGTGTGTCCAGATGGCAGACACTTAAGCAACAAATATGCATTCCCAGCTTTCTTGCAAAGTCAATTTTAGTTTATTATTTTATGCACTGCAAGCCATGTAATTAGGAAGAAGACATTTCTCCTCTAACTCACTGGTCAAGAGCAGAAAAGGGCATATTGGATTGTGTAAGTATTTAAAAAATACACAATCCAATATGTGATTGAAATAGTAATGCTCTACACCAAATATCTTCATAAATGGCTTCAGGCAAATATGATCGTAACTATGCAACAGCTGCTGTCATTTCAGCAGCTGCCAAAGGTGTTGCACAGATTTCAATGACTTTTTGCAGGTGGATTTACTTTCGAATTTCTCATTTGCACATCAGACACAAATTACTAGTACAATTTTGGTAATATGCATGCAACTGTGTCCTGAAGTCAGAGTCAGAAAGTCTTGCAGCAGCTCAACTCAAAAAACTAGCTCTGAATGCCAAAAATATCTGCATTAGAGTGTGTTTCTGAGCATGCGTAAAGTATATTTAAGTTTGTCCATAACCCGTAAAACCTCAGATGTCTTAAGAGTCAGCATGGTGCAATGGTTTGTACTGGACTATGACTCTGAAGAACATGCTTCAAGTCCCCACACAGACATGGAAACTCATTAGGTGACTCTGGACACAATCTCAACCTCAGATGAAGGGCATGACAAACTCAATTTGAACAAATCCTGCCAAGAAAACCTAGGGTTTCCATAAATCAGAAATGACTTGAAGGCACACCACTACTACTATTGTTGTTGTTCATTCATTCAGTCGTCTCCGACTCTTCGTGACCTCATGGACCAGCCCACGCCAGAGCTCCCTGTTGGCCGTCACCACCCCCAGCTCCTTCAAGGTCAGTCCAGTCACTTCAAGGATGCCATCCATCCATCTTGCCCTTGGTCGGCCCCTCTTCCTTTTTCCTTCTACTTTCCCCAGCATAATTGTCTTCTCTAGGCTTTCCTGTCTCCTCATGATGTGGCCAAAGTACTTCAGCTTTGTCTGTAGTATCCTTCCCTCCTACTACTATACATAATGAAAAACTGGTATTACAGGCCTAAAAGTGAATCTCTCATCAAAATGTGGATTTGTTACTATTTCCCTCATTTTAATTGGGTTAGTGCAGTTGTCTTCTATCACAGTTCCAATGCCCTCACTTGAAACCACAGGTGGCAACTGTGCAGTCCTACAGATACTGCTAGCCACACACAACTACCAGCAGTCTTAGCAACACAGCCAATGGTAAGGAATGCTGGAAATTGTAGTCATGTGAAAAGCCACATAATTCCCACCTCTGCTCCCAATTAAAGTAGCTTCCATCTGCATTTGGACTTTAAAATAAGTGTTATCCCATCTGTATATTTGATCATGAATGTAAATAACATCAATCAGTTTATATGAGCAGAATCTGGTGCCTAAAGAACCTTTTTTCATAGTTTTGTTCTTTTCCCTATGTCACAAAAAGCCTTTCAATTATGATTGATGATTATTGATGTCCTTTAACTGCTTTGGGGGCAGTTTCAAAAGTTCCTAATAATCAGCTGTCTGCTCTGGAGCATGTCAGTCATACCTGCTGTCCTACAGATACTACCAGAAAGGGTTTTATAATGGAAACACTCGATTTTACTTGTGATAGTTCACAATCTTATCTTCCACTAGACTGCTCCCAGTACCCCTTGCCAAAAGTAGAGCGCCTGTATTTTCTCGCTTCTTCCTTCCTCCCCCACCCCATTCCATCAAAATTCAATTAAGGATGACAAATAAGAATAGCGGCATGATGTCTTTTGGCTAGGAACACTGGCAGAGTTTAGAAGCATGTAAGCTGGTGCCAAGTCTCCTTGAAATCCCAGGATCCACTCCTCCTGGTATTTCAGAGGAGGGCTACTTTGAGGGCACTTGCCTCCCCTTCCATGCCCTGATTGCTCTTCTTGGCTATACAGAGGATACGACAGCAGGAGGGAAGGGACTCTGGGACTTGTTGTTCTTAAAGGATCATGTCATATCAAGTGGCATATCCAAACGGCAAGTTCTAAAGTTTCCTCTGCAAGCACGTACTGCTTCTTCCCAGAGCTGGAAGCTCATTGCTCTGAAAGTTACTTGTTCTGACCAGTTCTAGCAAATCTTGCAAAATACAGGTGTTCCATATGAAGAGAGAGAAATAATATCTCATGCACATGATCTGAAGATGAACCTCAATCATTTCTTCATGGTTACTGTTATGGAGCCTAAATATTTGGGCAGAAATCTTGTAGAAAGCACAGGTTGAACATAGATTATCCAAAAATCTGAAACCTAAAGACTCCAAAATTATTCATGTGGGTGGCTGAGAAATACACACCTTCACTTTCTGGAGATTCAATGTACATAAACTTTGCTTCATGCACAAAATTATTTAAAATATTGTATAAAATTACTGTCAGGCTTTGTACGTAAGGTGTACATGAAATGCACATGAATTTTGCATTTAGCTTAGTTTCCATTGCCAAGATATCTCAGTATGTTATATATGTATATGAAAACAAAAATCCAAAACCTTTCTGATCCCAAGCATTTTGGATAAAGGATACACAACTTGTACAACATATCTCTGAAGAATGTATTGTCGAAGGCTTTCATGGCCGGAATCACTGGGTTGTTGTAGGTGTATGGCCATGTTCTAGAAGCATTCTCTCCTGACGTTTTGCCTGCATCTATGGCAGGGATCCTCAGGGATTGTGGGATCTGTAGAGAATGCTTCTAGAACATGGCCATACAGCCCCAAAAACCTACAACAACCCAGTATCTTTGAAGAGCCCAGAGTAAGTTCCTTGCAGCCTATAATTTTCCCTTCAATTCACATAAATCCAAATTGGAAAACTCACAAGCAGGGCATGACCACAATAGCCCTGCTCCTCCAAATATTCCCCAGCAACGGGTATTGAGAAAGACACCACCATTTATACTGGTGGTAACATATAACCATCATGATCAGCAATCACCTGATGCATGCTATAGAATGATTACACATCTGATAAGTATGTGACCAACCATCCTCTGCTGCAGAAGAATGTAACATTGATGTCATTATGGCATCAGCATCTGAACTTTATCAGGAGTGGAGCTGGCCCTGTGTAATCTGACACAACACCCTGTTAAACTGAGAACTGAGAATGGTTCATTCAGCATTTATATTATCTATACAATGTCAAATGTGTGCAAACTTTAAGCATTTAGATATGCACACACCTACACATTGGGAGGTAGCAATAAATTCTGAAGTGTAAACACTCATCTGATCATTGCCATACCCAAATCCCCCAGGAGAGTCCAATTATGAAGGTAGCTGTGTTGATTCAACACATTCGTTCTAACAAATAATTTTCATCCCTATAAGAAGCAGGCTTTTTGTAAAGCTTATGGACCTCGATAGAGTTTTTAAGATCAAGTCATGTCAAAACAAGTTGCATTAGAAAATCCCTTTGTGTCCCAAACTATTGTGAGAGTTGCAAGTCAGCTCTAAAGGAGCGAGGAAATCAAAGGTGGGTGACCAACAAAGTCACTGTCCCTGCTAATCAAATTGTCATAGTGTTTTGATCCTTTGAAACTACTTGTCTCCATGGTGTATTTACTAATTAAGTTTTCTGGTGGGGCAGACCTGAAATTTCCTTTCCCAATGTGCAGACTATAATTGTACTATTTTTTTTTATCATGTCTGAAGTGACTTGAGAAACTGCAAGTCACTTCTGGTGTGACAGAATCAGGCATCTGCAGAAACATTACCCAGGGGATACCCAGATGTATTATCCTGTGGGAGGCTTCTGTCATGTCACCGCATGGGAAGCTAGGGCTGACAGACAGGAGCTCCTATTAGGAGCTGCAGTGGCTGAATAGGTTAAACCCTTGTGTCAGCTGAACTCCTGACCTGAAGGTGAGCAGTTCAAATCTGCAAGATGGGGTGAGCTCCCATCTGTCAGCCCCAGTTTCCCATGCAGGGACATGAGAAAAGCCTCCAATTCTCTCACACCAGAAGCAACTTACAGTTTCTCAAATAGCTTCTGACACGATAAAAAAAGTGGTACTATTTTTGTGCCCATTGGCACAATGTTTTCTTTCCGATACTTGTCTGTGGACCATTACTTTGAGTACTACTGATTAACATTTCTCTCCAAGGCCTTTATTTTACCTGCTTGGTATCAACTGCCCTGAGATGACAACTGAATTATTTTCCTTATGATGACCTGCATCCCTCAGAGTCCAGGTCACACATTGAGATTCCCTGGTGCTCTGGACATCCACCCGAGAGACCCTGGTATTGCAATAGGTTAAACCCTTGTGCCGGCAAGATTGATGACCGCAAGGTCAGCAGTTCAAATCCAGGGAGCAGGTGAGCTTCTGTCTGTCAGCTCCAGCTTCCCATGTGGTGACATGAGAGAAGCCTCTCACAGGATAGTGAAACATTCGGGCATCCCCTGGGCAACATCCTTGCAGACGGCCAATTCTCTCACACCAGAAGCAACTTGCAGTTTCTCAAGTCGCTCCTGACATGAGAAAACAGAAAACTAGCACCCAGTTGCTTTCTTGCCACACCAACCTTACCTCCATCCGCGTAGGTTTCTGTACCATAACCGTCCTGTAGTCCATTGTTCCAGGTGCCTTCATACTTTGCTCCACTGCTGATGTTCTGCCTTATCCCATACCTTCCCTTGAAGCCATGTGTCCATTCACCTTTGTAAAGCCACCGTCCTTTGGTCTCGATCCCTAAGCCATGCCTCTTGCCTTGAGACCAGTAGCCTTCGTAGGTGTTGCCGCTGGGCCAGGTGTAGACGCCCACCACTTCAAAGCCATAGTTCCAAGAGCCGGAGTATTCACCTTGACCTTTGGGCCCAGTGCAGATGCCATGTCCGTGGGCTTTGCCCCCTTCCCAGCCCCCACAATACGCCCCTCCATCATCAAAATCAAATCTTCCGCCACTCATGGTGCCAGCCAAAGCAGACCGGCCAGCAACTTCCACTATCTTCTTTCCCTTTTCTCTTTTTCCTTCTCTTTTCCTCCCTCTGCTCTTCACCCCTTGTGTCCTACTTAGCTAAAGTGGCTCTCCATTAGTGGAAGGATGGCATGCAGAATGCCCAGCTGCATAGCCAACCTTGGCTTTGGGTCAAGTGCTTTCTTCTCCAAGGAAAGAGGCTGCAATGAGGAGGGGAGATTGACCCCAAGGACAAAGAAGCACTCTGAGAAACTAGATATTCCACACTTACAGGCAGCCTTGCTTGGAGCTACCCAAGCTTAGGAAACAAGGAAGGAAAACTTTTAAAGTGGGCCAGGGAGATTGAGATGGGACTGGCAGTGCAAGGGCATGTTCTTCTCTCACTTGCCAGGCGCTCACCTACCCTTCCTTGCAAGGAGAGCTGAAGTTCTTCAGGGCAGGAAGGCTGTGACCTCAAGCAACCTACATGGCCCTCTCTCTCTCCCTCCTTCCCTGCCTGCCCCAAATACCCTCTTGGAGCGGCTCCTGGGCCAAACTAGCCCCAGAAAGGACTCCCTGATCTCTCTCCCTCTCTCTCTGCTTCCCACCCAGCCCCTGCCCTCCCTTGCTACCCACCCGCCCAGCCAACGCGCTTCAGATGCGCCCCAGACAGGCTTCGTGGTGCAGACGAGGCCAGCAGCCTCCCTTTCCAGGGTCCCAGGGGGTCTGGGTGCCCCCGGCTGCTCCCTGCTTCTTCCCTCCTCCTCCTCCTCTTGCTCCGGCAGCAAGAAAAAGGTCAACGCTGCCCTAACAAGGCCATCCGATCCCTGGAGCTGCTGCTCCTGCTGCTGCTCCTAAAATAAACCCCCCAAGGCCGGCCCCTTTCCCAAACCCTTTTATGGGCGGCGGAGAGGCGCCCACCCCATCGCGCCTTCGGGTCGGGAAGAGGAGGACGCGGACGAGGAGGAGGAGGAGGAGGGAGAAAGAAAGGGTCCGGCTTAAAATAGCACCTTGAGACGCTCTGGAAAGCAAGGGGCAGGGTGAGGAGAGGAGTTGCCTGCCAAGGCGTTGGCACCGAAGTTGGCAGGGAGCACGCGAGCGGGGAAAGTGGGCAGGGAGGGAAGAGAATGAATGGGAGGCTGGGCAAAGGAAGGGGTTCAGAGGCAGGGCACGTGGGAGGGGAAGCAGGTCGTGGCTTTTCACGGGAAATGGTGTCCCTGGTTGGATGCCCAGTATGTGCGAGGGATGGTAATTCATAGAATCATAGACTCATAGAGTTGGAAGGGACCTCGTGGGCCATCCAGTCCAACCCCCTGCCAAGAAGCAGGAATATTGCATTCACCCCTGACAGATGGTCATCCAGCCTCTGTTTAAAAACCTCCAAAGAAGGAGCCTCTACCACACTCCGGGGCAGAGAGTTCCACTGCTAAACTGCTCTCACAACCAGGAAGTTCTTCCTAATGTTCAGATGGAATCTCATTTCTTGTAGTATGGAGCCATTATTCCCTGTCCTAGTCTCCAGGGAAGCAGAATGCAAGTTTGCTCCCTCCTGCCTCTGATTTCCTCTCACATATTTATACATGGCTATCATGTCTCCTCCTAGCCTTCTCTTCTTCAAGCTAAACATGCCCAGCTCTTTAAGCCACTCTTCATAGGGCTTGTCCTCCAGACCCTTGATCATTTTAGTTGCCCTCCTCTGGACACATTCCAGCTTCTCAATATCTCTCTTCAATTGTGGTGCCCAGAATTGGACACAATATTCCAGGTGTGGTCTAACCAAGGCGGAATAGAGAGGAAGCGTTCTGGACTACAGTTCCCAACATTTGTAATCTGGGGAGAATGTGGAGTTCCAAAAGTGCAGTTGCTGAAAATGTTCCAACTGTTACAAGCCAGGTTTTACCTGATGTATATAAAGCGGCTCTTCTTTCTTCTGAAATAGGCATGGGCAAACTTGGGCCCTCCAGGTGTTTTCCTCCAGGAAGATGTTTGCTTCTTAGGGGGAGAACAATGATAAAATAGTGAAGAGACATCACACTGGCAACGAAGATCCCCATAGTTAAGGCAGTGGAATTCCCCGTAGTAGCCTATGGATGTGGGAGCTGGACCATAAGGAAGGCTGAGCAAAGGAAGATAGATGCTTTTGAACTGTGGTGTTGGAGAAAAATTCTGAGAGTGCCTTGGACCACAAGAAGATCAAACCAGAAAAGGGAGAAAATTTTCAAAACAGAACAATGTCGGTGAATGGAAACTTAATGTGTATAAAAATGCCTGCTTATGATTATGCTTTTACACTTGTACCCTTCAAACATCTATGCTGTATGAGTGTCCTTTTTGCGTAAATCAAATAAAGTCTCTGTTGTTTGCCTTCAACCTGGTGAGATTCTTGGTTCCTGATTCCCGATTCATCATCTGCAGTTAGCGAAGTCTGCAAGGCATCCCTCGGCTATCCATGGGGCATAGAAAAATTCCAAATTTTCAGCATCATGCCTAAGATTAACACTGTTTTTCACAGGTCAGAGGAGGTCAGCCTTGCTTCCTTTTGTTCTTGTCCATCTAGGCCTATAGAGAAATCCTGGCATGCTCTGGATCTAGGCAGAACGCTTAAAAGTCAGCAAACCTTGAGGAAGTTGCCAGATCCAAGGGAAAATCACATTTTGTGATTGATGCATACCCCTATTCTAACCAAGTTACAGAGAACCTTGAGATGTTACCATTCAGGAGCAACCACAAACTCCATATCCCCAGATCCATGCACTTCTTAGCTGTCACCTGCTTTTGATAGTGTTGGTTATATTGAAAATATACCAAAATAATAATGGATTAGTTGGAATACAATTTTCCTGTAAAAGAGAACAGGCTGTTGTCTTGATCTCCCACTACTGTGTCTATCTGGTTCAAAAGTACTGCTATAATTTTAAATATGGATCAATTTCAATTTTGCCTGGATTTACATGGGCAGTGACTTCCCTACAAATGTCAACACACATTTCAGATACACCCTTACCTTTGCCAGATGTGTGTGGATATCCCTGTTGTTAAAATGCAGTGCACCTAAGGTTGAGAAAGAATCATGATACCTTCTGGATAGCGTTTTCCACAACTGGTTCATACTGGGTAGGAATGCATGCTGAGACTTGTAGTTGAAGAATACCTGAAGAGCTAGACAAATCCCACTTCTGGTCTAACTCACATTTAGTCACAGCTGGAGGACACCCACCTAATCGATAGGACTTACAAAACAGGACTCTGCTCTAACCGAGACTAACGATTGATTTTTAGCCCGGCAGAGATGGTGAGTGACTGCATGAATATCAGCCAGCATACATTTGTCTACGGGACTACAAACCAACAGAAATACATAGGTAGATTTTCGAATAGTTACACAGAACTAAAAGAATTAAAGAGAAAAAAATAAATTACTGCCCAGAAAGCAAACAACTAACTCATACTTCTTCTGGAGGCGTTTAGACATTTATTAAAGCATTTCTTAAAATATTTCTCTCCTGCTCTATATCCAAGGATCTCGAAGCAAAATACAATAAAATCAATTTTAACAAAAAGTGAAGCACTAAAATAAAATCACACTTTAAATGCATTAAATTATTTTAAAAAGTTGAACCAGTTAGAACAGTCAAACTCCTGTACATGTACATACTGGGGAAAGTCATTAGGTTAAAAAACTGTATTAAAAGCCATATTTTAACATGGTGCCAGAATGAAGGCAGTGTCTGTACCAGTAGTACCTCTATGGCAGTGGCTCCCAACCTTTTTTTGACCAGGATCTACTTTGCCCAAGGACCACTTGACCAGGGACCATTCTCCAACATTAGTACCAAAAGGGTGATGAATCAGTTTTTGGGCAACTTTAGATCTGGTTTGGTTATTTGGGGTGCTGATTCAGAACATTGCATTGGAGACCACATCAGCTCTAGTTTCTGATACAGAACATATGCTATCCAGTAGTTGCCATCTGCTTGCCCACAGAAAACCATATTTAATTATCTAGAGCTGTGGACCTTATTTTACGTCTTGCAGCCCACACTGCTCTAAGGGGAGGATGCCCCATAAGGATTACCTTACTAAAGCCATTACAGGAATTTCCTTTGGTTCCTAAAGTCATGCTTGGTTGGTACAGGGAGACAGTATTTTCAGAGGCTACAGCAAGTCTCTGACCTTCCTCAGTGGAAGGTCTCCTTGTTCACTGCTTGTCCTTAACACAAAAAATGCATCCTCTTAGAAAAGCTTCAGGGCCTTCAGTGATCTTAACACAACTGGAAGTTTTGTTTTTTCAATGAATTCTATTAATATGTTTTACTCATTTATATGTAGTGTTTTATATATACAAAAGCACTTTTTGCTCAAACTGTAGCTTGCCCCATGTTTACCACTTTCTCATTTCATTGAAGTAACCTCTTAAATTGGATGTTTGTGACTGCTAAACCAATTTACTAGCGACAAGTACCATTTTTGTTTTCATTTGAACAAGAAAACGGAGGCGCCAGGGTGGCCCCATTCCAAGAAACTGAAGCGGGAAGAATCAGAAATAAAACACTGGAAACTCATCACAATTTTCAGCGCCTTTGCCCTCAATCATCTCATGCAAGAGACTCAACACTGAAATGGAAAATGTATGCTATTTCCTGAGCCCATTACAGGAAACGGGTTTTCATTATATAACAGCAGATGCAAATAGAGAGCTAATCTGTGTTATTTATGATGCATTAGCCATTATAATGGTAAGGTGCAAAGAATGTTCACATTAACTTTACATCCAATTCTCTCCCTTACTGCCCGCTAATACCAATTTTAGATTTAGAGCTTAACAGCAGTCCATTACAAATCAAGTTTGCGCATCCAGGATGGTTCATAAAGGCCTAAATATCAACATTCCACATTTCTCAAAATTAGGTTTCACCACACAGCTTTAGTTTCAATAAACTGCTTTAATCATCCTTCCAGATTCTCTATGTCAGGGTTTAGTATTCCTGTTTCCTAGCACAATGTGGAATTTCAAAGCCATGTACTAAAGGACCTTACATAATTTGTACCACAGAGAAATTATTGGCATCTCCTCACCATGGCAGGGAAATAAAATACACTATTGGGTAGACTTTTAGATGGCATTAAGGAAAAACATATCTCAGTGCTACATCTTCTCAAATTCTCATTTCCTCACTTATCTGGCAGAACAAAATGCTTCCACAGTCCAGATGTGGATAGCAAGTGCTAGCTCTGCAAACAGTTCATGAATGTATACCATGCAGTCTTTAGGTCAAGGAACTGGGTGCAATGCCTGAATAAGATATACCTTTTTAGTAAAGTGATATTAAAGTGTTCAGAACATAAAGAAGATGGGGCTTCTAGCTTTAGTAGTCATGTAGAAAAGGGAAGCTGGAATTTCAACAAGTGTAACATAGGTTTTTAAACAGAGGCTAGATGGCCATCTGTCAGGGGTGCTTTGAATGCAATATTCCTGCTTCTTGGTAGGGGGCTGGGCTGGATGGCCCATGAGGTCTCTTCCAACTCTATGATTCTGATTCTATATCATGCAAACATAACGTTTTGAAATTTCAATTTCTACACAAATCATTCTTATTATTTCTTTTAAAACAGTCATCACAATAGTGCATTAACACCTCTCTTTTAAATGTAAACAGTTTCAACAGTTTTTTGGCTATGAACAAAAGAAAAATTTCTGTTGCCAACAGCTTGAAAATTAATTTCAGGGGATTCCTCTATCAAACAAAATTGAAAATATTTATGAGCAAATGTAAATAGTACTGGCCAAATTTAAGAATCTGCACAACTCACAAGAAAGTTGGGTTGTTGTGTGTTGTATGTTTTTCGGGCTGTATGACCATGTTCCAGAAGCATTATCTCCTGACATTTCGCCCCATCTATGGCAGGCATCCTCAGAAGTTGTGAGGTTTCTTTCTTTCCTTGCATCTTAAGTGTGGTCTCTAGTGTTAGGTGGACATTTTGCGTGGACACACTTTCATCCTTCTTTGGCATACATTATATAAGTTATTGCACACAGGCACCCATTTACCAAAGCATCTGTGAATTTTTCTATTTGCACTTTTCAAATGTGTGCTTTTAGTGGATACATTTTTAAAAGTCTTTTAAGTATGCAGATTTCCAAACACAAATTGAACCTGGCCCGCACCCACTTCTAAGCAGTGCTGACTGGGAAATCAGAATAAAATAACACAATTTAGAGAGTAGATTCCACAGATTTCCGCACTGGAGGAATTCATCACAACTGTGGAGCAAGGTTGCCCTCTAGTGGACTCAGAAAGTGATTTGACTGTTAACATTTCATCAGAAATAACATTTTGATTCAATTCTTTGGGATTCATTCTCTTGTTAAAACATGGTGTCTCAACAATTATTTTCACACTATATTTAAAATGCTGATAACTAGGAAAATATACTATTTGCTTACATTACTAGAGAAAGTATATCCTGCAAAATGTTAGTTGGCAGCTAATACTGAAGAATGAAATTAAATTGCTGATGATCAAAATACTTGGGACAGATACAGAACAAAAACTGTATTCTCGGTAATTGTGCATTTCTGTAGTTTAAAACATGACACTCCAGATATTGAGAATGTTAATTCTTATAATCTCTACGTCTGCCAGTGCTGAAAAGACTTGAATCCACTAACATCCTAAAGGCTACATGCTGCCCAGCCTGTGGGTCCTGTATACATATTCTAAGGTATCATAACTTTTGGAAAAAAGCTTTATTTGGCTCCAAGCGCACAGAGGGCTTTGCTTACAGTGTGGACCAACTGAGTAGTTCCTCAACTTGCAATCCTCAGCTTCTTTTACAAATTAATACAACTCAATCACTAGACTCATTTGCGAAGATATTGATCATGGTCTTGCCATCTTCAGCTTTTGGAAGACCTTTAATATTTCCTTTGATGTTAAATTGTGGGGCATGAAAAACAGAAAGACTAGTGCAGTGCAAACTGTCTTTATTACAAGCACAGAGCCATGGCTTCTTCACTGGAGCGTGACCACCCTTTGCTCATCAGATCCCACAGCTGTCAGGTGTACATCATTTCTGCCATGTGGGACATTTCCTTAGGGATATGCAGGAAATATTCCATATACCCCGAAAGGTCTTCAATAGTCACATCTTCCACATGAGCCCTGGCTTGCTCAGAGCAAGATCTCAGAGAGCAGGAGGGAGTTCTTGATGGCAAAGGCTGGGAATTGTCCTGCACATGTGTTGCTTTTTCAGGAACAGATTGAAGGGCATTTTGCAGATCAGAAAACATATACACTCTCATGTCTTGCCACTGTGTGCACTGACAGGTCTTGTCTACACATGCACACAGACTCCCTTTATTTTGCTCAGACACAGACTGGAAATCAGAAGGATCTGTAGCTTTTAGAATGGTTGTTGGGCTGCTTTCAGGTGTGTTCTGCTGCACTGTAGCCATAGAAACCCCAGAATGTTTGGCTGCTGTTTGCAGCTTCTCAGCATTGCTGAGAGTATAACTGGCCTGTTTGTTCTTGCATAATTCATCTGAGCTTGGCTCACTCAGGTCACAGCGGTGATCAGAAGTGTCCACTGCATTCTCGGGCAGGGGTTGGTGATGTGTTGGCAATTTAATAGTGTGGTGGATGAACTTGGGAGGGTGGAGTACTGGAGACTTTGAACTCCGACGACGCTGTGTTCTCACTGCTCCTTTCACGGGTTTCCTCAAACACCTAGAGGATGAAAATGCAAAAAGTTAGTAGTTCAACCCAAATAAAACTGCAGATTAATATTTATACCATGAGTCACAAAGAAGGGATAACATCTAACTAATAAGTTGGATTTAAAAACTATATACTTATGGGCTGCCTAGTGGCACAGTGGGTTAAACCACTGAGCTGCTGAACTTGCTGACCGAAGGCGAGCTCTCACTGTTAGGCCCAGCTTCTGCTAACCTAGCAGTTCAAAAATGTGCAAATACGAGTCGATCAATAGGTACCGCTTCTGTGGGAAGGTAATGGTGCTCCATGCAGTCATGCTGGCCACATAACCTTGGACAACACTGGCTCTTCAGCTTAGAAATGGAGATAAGTGCCACCCCTCAGAGTCAGACACAACTATACTCAATGTCAGGGGAAACATTTACCTTTATACTGATATGGGTTGCTTATTACAAGCGTTACTGTCACCGTTAGGAGCCACCCATCACTGGTTGCCACCATCATTTTCCTGCCCCAAAATTTGAGAAGGCCAGAAACAGAAAGAGTAGAGGAGTTGGTGATTTATTCACAGGCTTATACATAAATATATAGAGTACCCAATCTCAGTGCGTTTCCAAACATCAGCTGGAATATGGAAATATACAGCCAACTGCAAATGTAGTAAGGCAATCATGTGCTATCAGACTAACGTCTGCACATTTAATTTGGAATTTGTGTACACAGAAATATGTGCGCATTCAGAAGATCTACAAGCCACTCTAAACACCTTCGCAGAATCATACGAGAAGCTCGGCCTGTCATTGAACATCGAGAAAACCAAAGTGCTGTTCCAGCAGTCACCAGCCAACTTCTTTCCAATGGCAGAGATACAGCTTAATGGTGCAACACTGGAAAATGTTGATCATGTCTGCTACCTTGGCAGCCACTTCTCCACCAAAGTCAACATCGACACTGAAATACAACATCGGCTGAGCTCTGTGAGTGCAGCATTTTTCTGAATGAAACAGACAGTGTTTGAGGACCGGGACATCCATAGGGATACCAAGGTGCTTGTTTATAAAGCTGTTGTCCTCCCAACCCTGCTATATGCCTGCGAAACGTGGACTGTCTACAGATGTCACATGCAACTCCTGGAACGATTCCATCAGCGCTGCCTCCAGAAAATCCTGCAAATCCCTTGGGAAGACAGGCGGACAAACATCAGCATACTGGAAGAAGCAAAGACCACCAGCACTAAAGCGATGGTCCTCCGTCATCATCTCCGCTGGACCAGCCACGTTGTCCGGATGCCCAACCACTGTCTCCCAAAGCAGTTGCTATACTCCGAACTCAAGAACGGAAAAGAAACTTTTGGTGGACAGGAAAAGAGATTTAAAGATGGGCTCAAAGCCAACCTTAGAAACTCTGGCATAGACACTGAGAACTGGGAAGCCCTGGCCCTTGAGCGCTCCAGCTGGAGATCAGCTGTGACCAGCAGTGCTGTAGAATTTGAAGAGGCACGAATGGAGGGTGAAAGAGAGAAACGTGCCAAGAGGAAGGTGCATCAAGCCAACCCCGACCGGGACTGCCTTCCACCTGGAAACAAATGCCCTCACTGCGGAAAAAGATGCAGATCAAGAATAGGGCTCCACAGTCACCTACGGACCCACCGCCAGGACACCAAACTTGGAGGGCCATCATCCTCAGACTACGAGGGATTGCCTAAGTAAGGTACATGATTCCATACCGATAAGAGAAGGAGTGACGTGGAGGCAATATATGAAATTGCAAGAGGTATACTGTCTTCCAGGTGCATGCATTCATGGTGTAACAGACAGGCTGATAAAATATATGATATCTACAAACTGTGAGCCCCTTCTTATGATGCATGCGAGAATAAATGATATTGCAAGATACAGTATTCAGAATATTACAGAGACTATGAAGATGGAAACTTAAGAACTTTGAGGAAAAGGCTGCCATTGTGGTACTCCTCCCTATTGAAGGCAATGGCCCCTAAAAACAGACAAGAATACTGAGGTGAACAACTGACTCTGCAAATAGTACTGCCATAAAATACTTGGTTTTCTGGAGCATGCTCTATGCTTTTATCAAGAAGGCCATCTTCATGAAAGGTTGGGCCTCAGAGTAGTTCGAATCATAGAATTGGAAAAGACCATGTGGGCCATCCAGTCCAACCTCCTTCCAAGAAGCAGGAAAATCGCATTCAAAGCAGCCACGTCAAATGGCCATCCAGCCTCCAAAGAAGGAGCATCCACCACACCTCAGGGCAGAGAGTTTCACTGTTGAACAGCTCTCACAGTAAGAAAGTTCTTCGTCATGTTCAGGTAGAATCTCCTTTCCTGTAGTTTGAAGCCATTGTTCCGCGTCTCCAGGGCAGCAGAAAACAGGCCTGCTCTCTCCTCCTTATGACTTCCCCTCACACATTTATACATGGCTATTATGTGTCCTCTCAGTTGATAAGAACATATTTGTTAAGGGTCTGAAGAAGGAGTAGAATAACAGAATCATAGAGTTGGAAGAGACCACAAGGGACATTCAGTCAAACCCCCTGCCATAGTAGTAAAAGCACAATTAAAGTACCCCCGACAGATGTACACCCAGCCTTTGTTTAAGTCTCCAAAGGAGCCTCCTCCAAACTCCAGGGCACCGAGTTCCACTGTCGAACAGCTCTTACGGTGATGAATGCTCTTCCTAATGTTCAGGTGGATTCTCCTTTCCTGTAATTTGAGCCCATTGCTCTGAGTCTTAGTCTCCAGACTGCAGAAAACAAGCCTACTCCATCTTCCTCATGGGGGGGAGGGGGGACACAGTATTCCAGAGGAAACAGAGACACCACTTACTAGAGACAATAACCTCAACAATACAGAGTGAACTGAAGCAACAGCAGAAAAATCTGCCAACATATGAAGGGGGAAACAAAAAGGAAATGTAGGAGATGATCCATGATCTTACATTGTTCTAAAGCAGTGATTCTCAACCTGTGGGTCCCCAGATGTTTTGGCCTTCAACTCCCAGAAATCCTAACATTTGGTAAACTGGCTGGGATTTCTGGGAGTTGTAGGCCAAAACACCTGGGGACCCACAGGTTGAGAACCACTGTTCTAAAGTAACACAGACAGCATAAATAAAAAACAAGGTAAATTTAAACTCAGAATTTAGGAAGGCAAATATGATTTATTAAAAATCACTAAAATGGAATTTTAGTGATTGGAATCACTAAATGGAATGGAATTAGCCTTACCATGATGCGACTGGAAAATGATTTTAGTAAGGAGACACTGATGATTTATGGTTTATTGGTTTATATGGTTTTTATATGTGCTAAATGTGTTAATTGTATTTTTATGTCTGTTGGAGCATCGAATTGTTGCCGACTGTAAACCGTCCTGAGTCGCCTTCGGGCTGAGAAAGGCAGCATACAAATACAGTAAATAAATAATGAATAAATAATAATAATGTCTGACACCTGGTGGCTCCACACACCACACTTTCTCCACTGCCATCAAAGCATTAGGAAGAATTTCCTGGCAGTAAGAACCATTTGACAGTGGAGTAGATTGCCTCAGAAGGTGGTGGATTCTCCCTCAATTGAAATCTTTAAATAGAGGTTGGGCAGCCATCTCTCATGAGTATTTTAGCTGTGTATTCTTGCAGAGGATGGGGTTAGGTTAGATGATTCTGCAATCTTACCAATGCCAGCTTTCTTTTGACGTACAGGCAGATTTCACTTCATCTTCATCCGAGGTTCTTAAAAATGCTCTTGAAGATGTTCCCTCATTCACAGGAAGAGAAATAGTGGATCTAAAACAAGAAAAACGTCATCAGAAAGGACTAACAAAATAAATAAATAAATGCACAGACTGTGATAAGGTTATAAGCACACAATTCACCAACACTTAGCCTGCTTGAAAGCTAGATATAAACATGTGAGCCAAATGTTCTCATTTTTATTCAAGAACAAATATGGGACACTCGAATTTTTACTGGGGATCTGGGCCAAGTTAATCCAATCCTTTTGAACATCTTTTCTAGCTTCCTGATTAGAGACAAAAAGGCTTGGGGCAGGGAGACTGGAAAAAATGAATTTCAGGCTAACTAGCCGGAAGAATTACATGCCAGTCCTGCAATGCTTTCCTGGGTTTTTTAAATTTGAAAGAAGTCTTTTGAGATAGATACACCAGCCAAGGAAGCGCTGTATAATATAGTGTATTTGAAGATATTTATACACTACATACCAGGCTGATTTGGCATGAACAGGATATGTGCTCTGAAAGACACTCAACTCTTCTGTGTGGTTACATATAAAGGTAATGACACCTAGCAATTTACAAGGTAATAACTGAAGAATAATTTCTATCATTTCTATCTGTAATCTGACATGATATCACAAAAAATGTGAATGTATATGAATGTTTAAACTGTTTATCTTATGATGTTTTATACTTATCTATTAGGCTTGGGCGGTTTCGTTTGTTAATTTCATAATTCGTTATTAATTCGTATTTAAATTAGCTTACGATCCAATATTGAGCCATGCAGGAATAGTGTGAATTAGATTCGAAACAATTTTTTCAATTTATTTCGTAATCATTTCGTAATTATTTCGTAATTATTTTGTAATTATTTTCGCATGTCTGGTGCAAGTTTTATAGTTGTTGTTTGTTTTATCACACAAACAGTCAACAACAGAAGGAGAGGGAAGCTTCAGAAGTTCCTCCTGTCCCATTTGGAGGTTTTTTTAGCATATTGCGCAATCGCGTCCGCCATTAACGAATCGATTCGTAATTATACGAAATTTCGTATATTTCGAAATTTTTGAAAGGAAAATTTCGGAATTATTAAAAAAAACAAAACGCAAGGGCCCCCTAAAAACAAAACGAGTTTAGAACCAAATTTTTCCGTGGTTACCCAAGCCTATTATCTATGTATTTGGATAGTTGTTTATAGGATTATAATATGTTGTAAGACACATTGGGTCCCGTGAGGGAGAAAAGCAGGATATAAATAAATATGATGATTCCCCGGGCTTTATTTTAAAAGTTTGCAAATCACTATACTAATCTGCAACATTACTGCATTACGACTTCCTTCTGGATTCACTGACTCATAGTTATAGTGATGACTTCCTGCTTCAGCATGCTTTGTCATGATGCCTCAGCTGTATTATTTTTTGGTTTCACAATATTCCTTTTCAATGCATCATCAAAGCACTAAGCAGAAATAAGGAATGGAAAATGTTTTATTACAAGTTTGTTTAATTTATATCGGGGAAATCAGAACTACTTGGATGTGATTCAGGTGCCTCCTACCTGAGTCTAGTGTTATGCCTGTCTTGGCCTTCATTCTAGTTCTATGCATAAAAGAATGAAGTCTTCACAAAATGTATATTTGGTGTTGGTTAATTCAGAACTTGTCCACTACTACAGTGGTTGCAGTGTAGTTTCTACAAACAAAATCTAAATCTTCAGTTCAAATTTTCTCAGTCATTAGCTCATTAGAAACCTTTCAGCAAGCCACTATCAGAGACACTGCTTCACATCTGCAAGAATACAATTCATCATACAAAACAGGCTTGAAAGAATTGAAATTAGATAAAATAATCTGTATATTCAAGACGCACCACATACATTAATTCTCTGTTTTTTTAGAACATGGGGGTAAAGCATAAGGCAAAGAGAGGGCATGGGTGAATGACAGGAGAAGCAGCCATCTTCCCAGCCATCAAATGATACTGGTCACATATATTTAAACTTCTCTTAACAACTATGACAGCAAGAGATTTCAAATTTCTTTCTTTATTTTATGACATGAAAAAGCACACCTTTATTCTACGTATTTAACATCCTAATACTTAACATCACTTACCCTTCTGAGTCAACCCTTAGCTTTTTGAAAGCTGCCTGGAGATTCTCCTCAATCTCCGACATGGTGTAAGAACAATCCACTATATTCTCTTCCTAGAGGCTAAAGAATAATACGTATATTAGCATTTGCAAATAAAAATTTCTTTGAAACTAAAATGTATTGGAGAATAAAATGAAAGCAACTAATTCCCTATAAAAACATTCAAGATTTGACTAATATAATTCTATCTGTTAGGAAAATCAGAGCAAATTGTATTTTAAAACTCCTTTAGACTTTATAGCTGCAGGTATTTGTGTAGATGGAACAAAGTTATAGACTTCTCTACAGCAGCCTTCTAAAACTGTTTTACCCTACAGAAAACCTTGAAATAACTTTCAGATTTCAGGGAACCCTTGCATAAACTTCTACAGCTAATAAAACTGTTGATTTATTTCAGTCATATCTCATTGAAACCATAGTGCAGTTTTCCCTACCTTTTTTTGACCAGTGACCACTCTCCAACTTAGCCCCAAAAGGGTTACAAATCGGTTTTTGGTCAACTTTAAATTTGATTTGGTTATTTGGGGTGCTGATTCAGAAAACTGCATCTGATAGACTACATCAGCTTTAGTTTCTGATACAGAACATATGCCATCGTCAGTGACAGGGAAGGAGTGGCAGGTGGCGCAAAAGGAGAGGAAATAAAATAAAATAAATAAAGAGGAAGGAGGATCATGGACCAGATTTTCGTCGTCACAGCCCATTGGTGGTCCGCGGCCCACAGGTTAAGAACCACAGCCCTAGCGACTTGAGGAACCTTAGAATTCCAAGGAATCCTGGTTAAGCACCTCTGATCACATGCATACCTCGCTATTACTAAATTCCTAGTAATCCGAGAGAATTCAATGAAGAAATTAACACAGATGCCATAAAATCGAATAATCCTACAGATTTCATATTTTCATACCAAGTTATACCTTCCCTTCCCAAATGGTGTGGTGCATGAAGTAGCCTACCAAAGACTTAGTTTCACACATCATGTGGGGAAAATAACTTAGAAAAAAACTAAAAGACCTTAGTCCTATGAACAACTACTAAGGTATTTACAGCCACAAATTTTCTCTCAAGGCACATACAGGTTGCTGTCTTAGTGAGAAGGCAGCAACCTGTCAAATCACTTCAGATGGGAGGACAGGAATCATAATACTGAAGTATTCAACCATAAACACAACTTGATATAGAATATTAGATTTCAGGGAGATCAGATATAAATCATAGTATCTGTTCTATGTAAAACACACTAATAATAATAATAATAATAATAATAGAAGAAGAAGAAGAAGAAGAAGAATCCTTGTTGTAAACCGCGTTGAGTCGCCTGTTAGGCTGAGAAACTGCGGTATACAAGTAAATAATAAATAAATAATAAGAAGTTTTATTTGTATCCCACTGCTCAACAATATAAAACTAACAAAATGCATGATAACAGACATATAAACAATTCAGAAATTAAATAAACTAATAATAACACAAAATACATGAAAAGTTATACAGAACATGGTAATGTAACATCATCCATAAATAAAATAAAACAAGGTACATAACATTTACACAATGCTACCATTAAAACATCCCAAACACTGCCTTAGCAGATTCTAACATTTAAAATCGTGGCTAAAATACAATCATTAATTCAAATTTGAGCAAATCTGCCAGGGGTGCTTTGATTCTGTGCCCCTGCATGGCAGGGGGTTGGGGTGGATGGCCCTTATGGACTCTCTTAACTCTATGATTCCATGAAATTCACTGAATAAATAGAACTGATATAAATGCTGGCATCTCAAATTCCACTGATTCAATGGTGCTGCTCCAGTTGTGACTGATAGTGTGTATATTGCAAAAAAGAAAAGTGGAAGATTTGAGTGTTTATAGAAACTGATTAAAAAGGTAAGATAAAAGCAGCACAAAACTGTATGAAAAAAGCTCACTTGGACACCATTCCCTTCCTACTCCATTGGCTGATGTTTGCTTGCTCTGAAAAGGTTGAATTCAGACATGTTTCTCAGGTGTCTCCTGCTTGGATGTCATTATGACACATCTAGAAGGATAGCTGTGTCATAATGAGTTGGATGTACATACCAAGTGTTTGATCAGGCAAGGAGGAACACACAAAAGGAAGTGGTTACTAAAAGGCTGCTTCCTGCAATGCTAACCTGCCAAATGGATGAATGACAAAAAATACATATAACAGGCTGCTTTCACAGAAAGCTGAAATGAATACTGGATTCAAAGTTCTGATACAGAAGGCAAGCTTTCATTTTTTGGTTTGGCTTTTGTAATGCAAATATAGATATGAGAATATGTTTATGTATGATGTACCATTTCAAGTCATTAATTACATTTAATATTACTTTTTGAGAATCTCAAAACTTAGTTCAGTACAATTAGAAAAAATGTTTTATTGATTTACATGCACTTTATATCTCACCTTTCTCATTGCATGGGGCACAGACTAACCAAAGATTAACAATGCAACAGGTAATTGACTATTAAAGAAGAGAATAAAGAGTCAGACCTTAAAGGTTAAACAAATACTAAGAACAGGTCTTGGGTTTTTGCTGTACTGTGATAAAGAGGCAATGAAGGTTTGCTTGGAAACTAAGTATAGTATGTTCACCAATCAAACTAGAGGTATCCTGATTAATGTCAAAACATGACCACAACTACACCACACTTCAGGGAGATAAAAACATAAGAAAAGAGGCGGATTATAATAGGTCACAACTCATTTACAATAGTGGCCATAGTCATATAGGTATGCTAATAAATGAATTTATCTTTTACCTACTTATGCAGTCCTTTTGCTACTTTTTGAAAGTAGCAAACAAACCAGTAAGTCTATTTAACCATTTTTGTCCAAACCAGAAAGTTATGATTACTAATTTCAGAACAAGCGGGGATGGAGGATTACAAATTGGTTTAATATAGAAAGCTGGCAGCCACAGACTCCTGTAACAAACAGAACAGGAAGTCGTGGTTAACAGTCTCCCTGATATTACTATTTGCACTGGGAAGGAAGCAGCATAGAAACTACAGTCAAAGCCAAAACCTCATTCTAATCTTATTTTAGGAAACCACAAAATGATAGCCTGAACTAGGCCACCATTTCTGCATCTGAAAGAAGGTATAACAATTGGAGAAAGGAACATGTTCAAAACAAACACTAAGAGCAGTCTGCTTCTTATTGGACTGAAAAGCATGTTAATTTAGATGTCATCGCTGCTTCAGAGACTATAGCTTTTTCTTCCTACAAAGAGAAACTGTGCTATAAGAAAACCCAAATACCAAGACTGCTAAAACTTTGATACAAAATGTGCAAATTGACATATTCTGCCTGGGCTACATTTCACATCAGTGTCTAAAACAGTAGTTCCCAAGCTGTAGTCCATGGACCACCAGTTGTCTGAAAGAACTAAAATATGGGCTATGGCCACACAAAAGTGACTAGCCTCCCAAAACCCTCTCATAGTGCCAAGGCTTATTAAATATGGTTTTCTGTGGGCAAGCAGATGGAGACCACTGGATGGCATATGCTCTGTATCAGAAACTAGAGCTGATGTGGTGTATCCAATGCAATTTTTTGAATCAGCACCCCAAATAAGCAAACTAAACTAAAGTTGACCAAAAACTGATTTTTAACCTTTTGGTACTGATGTTGGGGATTGGGAACTTCTAATTTAAACAGTTTTCCTCTGTACATGAGTCAGGGCATTGTGAGCAAGCATACAGATGCTGAATCATTTGTTCTGCTCCACAGTTACACAAGGTGGGGGATTCTTCCAGGTAGTGCCATTTAGCCATGTTTTGATCTCCCAATATCACTTCTGAGTTGGTTCAGGGACTTCCAAGTTGCCCATTCTTGGTTTACCCCTGAAGGAAGACCTCGTGGGGGGCCTTGCAGTTAGGATTCCTGGTTTAGCTGCCCAGAGGGATACTCCTGCTGTTGCTGAGGGAACATTAAGAGGAGTGATGGTTCCCTTGTTTTGAGTCTACTGGGAGGAAGCTGATAGCCAAGCAGTGGATGGCTTTCACAGTGTTCAACCTTATTTCTCTCACAGTGGACAGCAACTTCCCGTCCCACACGGGGGGGGGGGGGGGGGGGGGGGGGGTGCCAGCTAGCTTATAGAGTAGGCATGGGCTAACTTCAACCCTCCGTGGTGTTTTGCACTTCAACTTCCACAATTGTGGGAGCTGAAGTCCAAAACACCCAGAGGGCCGAAGTTTGCCCATGCCTGTTATAGAGTCTATCAACAGGTTTTGGATTGGAGAAGTTAATGAGTTTGAGAGAAGCTTAGACCCAATTCTTTCCTATCAAGGAATGTAGTTCTTATATTTTGTAAATAAACCTTTGTGGTAACTTTTAAGATTGACCTCTTCACCTTTGCCCTTTAAGTTCAAAATTTCTTTTTCAGCCACACAACACTTCACTTTTCTGCTTGCTGTGAGCTGACTGTTCAATTCAGTTTATATTTTTGAACGCTATGCTGTTTTTGGGAGAATTCCCTAACAAGTGGAACCCAAGACAGAAATGTTTCCATGTCTTTATAGAAAAACATTGTGGGTGTAGGCATAAAGCAGGTGAAGTCCTGTGGAGTAAATATTATACTTAGTAAAGCTTCCCCTGGGGAGTGTAGTATTGTTAGTATATTACTAGCTATTCCCTGCCACGTGTTGCTGTGGCCCAGTCTCATGAGCTGGATAATAATGAGAAAGTGCTGGTTTCTAAGATATGTAATGTCTTGATGCTTGTGGGTTAAAAGTATTTCTTGCTGTTTCTTTGTCACTGTTGATGTGGAGAGTGTCTGGTTTGCCAACTCTGGAACATGCAACATATAATTGTCCTTCTTTGAGGGTCCCTTTCAAATCTATGATACTACATCTGTGTGTGTGTGAACCATATGTATCTATATCTATGGCTGGATGGCTCTTTGTCAGGAGGGCTTTGATTACGTTTTCTTGCCCTGGTAAAGGGAGTTGGACTCAATGGTATTTTCTGTTGCTCTTGGGGGTTCTGTGTAGGAAGTTTGCTCCAATTCTCTCATTCGTTGGGTTCAGAATGCTCTTTGATTGTAGGTGAACTACAAATCCCAGAAACTACAACTCCCAAATGTCAAGGTCTATTTCCCCCAAACTCCACCTGTGTTCATATTTGGGCATTTGGAATATTTGAGCCAAGTTTGGTTCAGATCCATCATGTTTGAGTCCACAGTGTTCTCTGGATGTAGGTGAACTACAACTCCCAAATTCAAGAACAATGCCCACCAAACCCTTCTAGTATTCTGTTTGTCATGGGAGTTCTGTGTGCCAAGTTTGGTTCAATTCCCTCATTGGTGGAGTTCAGAATGCTCTTTGATTGTAGGCTAACTATAAATCCTAGCAACTACAACTCCCAAATGACAAAATTATTATTATTTTGAGTGATTATTTATTTTATTTATTTAAAACTTTTATATCCCGATCTTCTCACCTTCGTAAGAGGGACTCAGACCGGCTTACAGCAAGGATTCAATGCCACTAATACAAGTTAAAACATCATACAACAATACAAGATTAAAATTCAAATAGATAAAATACATATACACCAAATTGCCAAGGTAAAATCATATTCAACTCAGTCCGCATATGTGGTTATTTACTTTGGTTTGAAACCAGTCTCAGCATTATTCTGGGAATGCTTCATTCCATAACCAGGATTTCACTAGACTCCTGAAGGACAAGAGGGAGGGGGCAGATCTAATCTCGCTCGGGAGAGAGTTCCTTAGCTGAGGGGCCACCTCAGAGAAGGCTCTGTCTCTCGTTCCCACCAAACGCGCTTGCGAAGGTGGTGGGACCCAGAGCAGGGCCTCTCCGGAAGATCTTAACGTCCTTGATAGTTCATAGGGGAGAATACATTTGGACAGGTAAACTGGGCCGGAACCGTATAGGGATTTATAGGTTAAAACCAGCACTTTGAATTGTACTCGGAAGCTAATTGGCAACCAGTGGAGCCACTCCTTGGGTTAGTAGGTGTCTTGTGGCCAAATTTGGCCTCAATTTGTCCAGTGGTTTTTGAGTTATGTTAATCTCACAAACGAACATTACATTTTTATATAGACAGATACTGAAGCAAGCTTATTAGTATGTCTATGTTGGCATTACTCTTACCATTACCAATTATATGTATGTATTGCATTTTTACACATGCCAGGGCAGAAAGGTTTCCATTATCTTTAGAAAAATGTCATTCGGCAAGTGAAGTCCTTCAATGAAACAGTCCCACTGAAGAAAGTTTTGGATACTTCCACAGCCACATTATTACCTTTCAATGAAAGATTTCCATATCTTTAGAGGAAATCCGTGAATTTCGGCGGCTGTGTACGAACCCACGCAATCTCTTTGATCATCTGGAGAGACTCGCGCTCCCACCTCCTTCGCAGGCGCGATTGGTGAGGACAAGAGAAAGGGCCTTCTCAGTGGTGGCCCCCCGACTCTGGAACTCACTTCCCAGGGACATCAGGCATGCCCCAACTCTGGCAGTCTTTAGGAGGAGCCTAAAAACGTGGTTGTTCCAGCCAAAGTAAACTGGGAGAGGTGAGCGAATCCGAGGAATGACTAGTAGAAGAATCAAGAGCGACGCAAGCCGCAGAAGCCCATACTTACTCGGAAATCGGGCGACCCAAACACCACCACCGCCACTTCAGCCGCTTCGTTTTCCCCGCGGCGCGCTCTGAGGTCCTTAGCAGGCGAAGGACCCGGATGAGGCTCCCGCGCGCCAGGAAAAAAAAAATCACAGAGAGGGCTTAGTGCGCATGCGTCCTCCGGACCCGTCCCTGATTACACAAGAGAGAGCGACAGAAGGCGAAAGGGCGCAAGGCGGGGGGAAAAAAGGCCAGCTCGTTCTGCGCACGCGCACTGCCGTCACTTCCTGTTGTTGCTGGTGGGGGGTGTTCACTTCCGGCAGTGGCTGGCCTGCCTGACGGGGTGAGTGGGGTGTTTGGCGGGAGCGAGAAGGGAGGGAAGCGGGCGAAGGAAGGGGAAGGTGTCCCGTTCGTCGCTGCCTGGCAAATTCTAGCCCTGAGCAGCAGTCGGGGGAGCTGGGTTGCTGCGGGCCTCCAGAGTTGAGGAAACCTTGTGGAGCCTGGAAGTTGTTGGTGCTGTTGTTACTACTACTACTATATATATATAGGCCTCAGGACACTGTCTTCCAGGTTGTTGTTCTATACCTTCAAGTACTTCCTGAGGCCTCATCTACACTGAGACTGCATTATATGATCAGTCTGTGAGGTCGTTCCACTGCCAGTTGCATTCTGAGGATTTTTGGTCTTCTCATAGTGATGTCTCTGTGTGTTTCCTGTATATGTAAGATGTCACACAAAATGTCCTCAGACATTTTGGGCAGTAGTTCTTCCTTAGCAAGCGACAAACCTTCTATATTAATAGAGACATTAGCTAGCAATGGTCTTGATAAAGACCTTTAATAATAATAATAATAATAATAATACTTTATTTGTACCCCCAAGGGACTCAGTGCAGCTTACATGAGGCCGAGCCCAAATATTTATTTATTTATTTGGGGTTCTTTTACCCCGCCCTTCTCACCCTGAAGGGGACTCAGGGCGGCTTACAAAGGCAAAGGCACAATTCGATGCCTGCATTATAAAACAATCATACACAAAATTACATCAATTCACAGTTAACAACAATTCATGCATTATAACCATAAAATCAATAAAAACCAATACAAACCCAATTTCTCCTCTTACATGGTCAGCGTTTGCTAACTCATAGATCTAGTTTTACGTTCCACTTCATCAATCCTGTTGGACTTACTCGCCTGATTGTCTGATTTAATTGCCAGAGTGCCCAAAGGCCTGGTCCCATAACCACGTCTTCACCCTCCTCCTGAAGGCAAGGAGGGATGGTGATGCCCTGATTTCCCCCGGGAGTGAATTCCACAGGTGAGGGGCCACCACTGAGAAAATACAACAATACAAGCAATAATAACAACAATACAAGCAATTAAAATAAAAAACATAGACAATAAGATATGCAACATTAACAATAAGACAACACACAATTAAAACTGTGGGAAGGCAAAATTAAAACTGGAAATAATGCTGGAGCATGGGTGAAAAGGTGATAGTGGCGTTTGTAGAAAACATACAACCAGACCTAAAAATGTAAAGTGCTTTAGAGGACAAAGTGCTATGGGATCATTATTCTGGGAAGGCACACTGGAACAACCATGTCTTCAAGCTCCTAAAGACTGCCAGAGTTGGGGCCTGCCTGATGTCCTTAGGAAGTGAGTTCCAGAGTCGAGGGGCCACCACCGAAAAGGCCCCCTCTCTCGTCCCCACCAATCGCGCCTGCGGTGCTGGTGGGATCGAGAGCAGGGCCTCTCCAGATAATCGAAGAGATCGTGTGGGTTCGTATACAGAGATGCGGTCACGCAGGTAGGCGGGTACCAAACCATTCAGGGCTTTGTAGGTAAGAACCTGCACCTTGAATTGGGTCCGGAAAATGAATGGCAGCCAGTGGAGCTCCTTGAACAGGAGGGTTGACCGCTCCCTGTAAGGAGCCCCAGTTAACAACCTGGCTGCCGCCCGTTGGACCATCTGGAATTTCCGAGCCATTTTCAAGGGCAGCCCCCTTTGGTGTTCATCCATATGTGGAGGGGGTAAAAAAACACACACCTCCAATTTAAAATGTTTAAAAGCAATGCTTTTGGATTTGGAAAGATTTGCTGTTTACGAAAAACGTTGCCCGAGGGACGCCCGACTGTCTTCGAAGAGAATCTTTCTGTGTCCCTGAATAGACTCAGAAGCGGAGTGGGCAGATCAAAATGGCACTATCTAAAAGAATCCCATACCTTGTGTGACTGTGGAGCAGAACAGACAACTCTGCATCTGTATGCATGTCCATTGTGCCCAGCCTTTGTACAGAGGAGGAATTGCTGGAGGTTACAGAACACCCAGAGGGCCAAAGTTTGAGTGTTAAGATTAGCCCGGGAAGTCCTGCTCTTGGTCCTGCTGCCTTCACAGATTGGCAGGGGCATGCCTTCTCAGTGGTGGCTCCTCAGCTGTGGAACTCCCGATTGAGATTAGCTCAGCCCTCTCCCTCCTGGTGTTCAGGAAGAAACTCAAAACTTGGTTACGCATGCTGGCGTTTGACTGAGTGATAGTATTGCAGTATAACACCTGCTCCCGGTGCGCAGGTGTTATACTATCACTCAGCAAATGCCAGCATGCATAACTAAGTTTTGAGCAGGATTGAAGACCGACAGGTCGCAGGTTCTAATCTGAGGAGAGCACGGATGAGCTCCCTCTATCAGTTTCAGCTCCCCATGTGGGGACATGAGAGAAGCCTCCCACAAAGATGGTACAAACATCAAAACATCTGGGAGTCCCCTGGGCAACGTCCTTGCAGATGGCCAATTCTCTCACACCAGAAGCGGCTTGCAGTTTCTCAAGTCACTTCTGACACGAACAAAAAAAAAGCATAACACCTAAATGAAGCAGCACATTCAATCAGCCAGCAGCTTGATTTTTTTTAATATAAAAAAACCAATCCAAACAGCGAACCCTGTTTTTTCCCATTTAATTGTCACTATTTTACCACACCACTGTACATCCACAGATTTTGGTATCCACATAATTTGTTTTCTATGGGGATCTTGGAACCAAATCACAGCGACTGCCAAGGGCCTACTATAGTGATATGAGCTTTTGTTGGTAATGAAGATTCTGCTGTAGAGTTTGCTCAGGAAGGGAGAAAGACTAACAGTTATGTTAAATGGGTATACCTCAATTAAGAAAGTAGATGTATTCCTGTGCAATACATCATCAACAGAAAGTTTGATGCCACAGGCAAAATGTGTGTGTGTATCTGCCAATTGATGGCAACTACATGAATTTTATAGGATTTCCTTAGGCTAGAAATGCTTAGGAGTGGTTTTGCCTATTTTTTCCTCTGTATTTCAGGATACATCACCAGTTACTCCTTTGCGCTGTTCACTAAACAAAGGTGGAGTCTCCTTCTCTGCAGGTTTTTAAACAGATGGTTGGATGGCCATCTGTCAGGGGTGCTTTGATTGTGCGTTCCTGCATGACAACTTGGACTGGATTCTATGACTTCAGCTCCCATAATTCCTAACAGCTGGTAAACTAGCTGGGATTTCTGGGAGTTGAAGTCCAAAACACCTGGAAGAGCAGAGTTTGAGAAACACTGCTTTAGGGTATTTATTTGCCTATTCCTTTCTCTGTTTTGATGCTGACACTTGCTCAGTATAAGATTGTGGAGGCAGAATCTGTGATATCCACAACTTGACACAGCATTCCACATTAGGTCTGACCAAAGTTGAAAACAGTGGGACTGTGACTTCCCTTGATGTGGATATTACACTCCTGTTAATATGGAATAGAATTCTATTGGCTCCCGAGGCAGCTTCATCATACTGTTGGCTCTTGTTTAGCTTGTATTGTTCTGAGACCCCCTAGATTTTTTTCATGTGTACTGTTTTCAAGGTGTGTGTCTCCCTTTATATTAGTGGTTCTCAACTTATGGCTCCCCTGGTGTTTTGGCCTACAACTCCCAGAAATCCCAGCCAGTTTACCAGCTGTTAGGATTTCTGGGAATTTAAGGCCCAAAACATCTGGGAACCCACAGGTTGTGCATTTTATTTTTTTCTGCCTAGATGTAATACTTTACTTTTACTCCTATAGATATTCATTCTGTTATTCTTTTCCTAGTTCCTGTTAAGGTGATTTCAAATCTTGATTCTGCCCACTGGGGTATTAGCTATCTGTCCTAATTTGATGTCATCTGCATGCTCTGTCCTGTTATCCAAGTCATTTAACTTAAAATGCACTTGCTAGCACATAATTGATGTTTCTTTACCTTTGTCCTGGAAAGAAATATAATGAAAAAAGAATAAAACTTTATATCCCACCCTATCTCCCTATGGGGGCTCATATATAGTGCCATATCTAAAGGCAAATATTAAAGAAGCCTGGGATTTGGTATGTCTGTTGTGACTTACATAGTTGTCAGTAGGTGGCAGAGTCTTTATTCACTATAAAACAGCAGTAGTTGTAAAGGTAAAGGTTTCCCCTTGACATTAAGTCTAGGGGAACTATTTCTAAGCTGAGGAGCTGATGTTGTCCCTAGACACCTCCAAGTTCTTGTGGCCAGCATGACTGCATGGAGTACCATTACCTTCCCACCAAAACAGTACCTATTGATCTACTCACATTTGCATGTTTTCGAACTGCAAGGTTGGCTGAAGCTGGGCCTAACAGCAGGAGCTCACCCCATTCCTCAGATTCAAACTGCTATCCTTTTGGTCAGTAGTAGTATGAAAATAAGGTAGAGTTGTATAGAAATGTTTCTTTTATAGGGACTAACTTGGGGCTTTTCTAGGGAGTCCTATTTAAACATGGTCTCAAGACAGGCACATTTTGCAAGTGCCGAGTAGGAAAAATTAGTAAGGATTGTTTGATGGACTGGCTTTACTTTTCCTTAAATTCATTTTTCTCAGTTCTGTTATATTGTGCACCTATGCTTGATGTGAGCAGAATTGTTACCTAAATATAGGTCTATAATTTTTTGCAGACTTTCCCTTTTCCACCAGAATACTAAATTGATTTCTTCATTTTAATGTATTCAGACAGATGCACATCTGGCCAGTTAGCAAGAGATTGGGAATGATCTCTGAAACCACCCATATTTAGAATGAGCTGTGAGTGCACTATTGTGGAGACGAGCCTCTCTCAGAATGCCATTAATCAATCCAGGCGAATGCTGCTTATTCAGTTGTAATGATGTTTCTGCCAATTTTACAAGATTTGAACACTCTAAATATGCAGTGATTTTATAAACTGTGATAGAGGTTTGCATAATTATGATCTATTACAGTGGCTTGCTTGAGAAAGTTTCAAGCTTTCCAAAATATAGTATATCCTTCTTTTAATATATGTCTACTTAAAACGCAAAATTTGAAGCAACTACCTTATCCATTTGTTCTATAAGCAATTTTTCTGCTCCTACTACCAGAATTCCTACCTTTTAGTCATTGAATTTGGTAATACCAGTGTTTGCCACCCACTCTCTGTAGTAGAAAATTCCTAGTTGGCCTTCCCAAGTACAATATGATTGCTGATTCTTTAAAAATTGGAAATATAGAAGTTCATTGCAGCTTATTGTCAGACTGTACCTTATATAAAGTGCTGTTTTTAGCCTATAAAGCCCTAAACGGTTCTAGCCCAACTTACCTATCCGAACGCATCTCCCCTTATGAACCATCTAGGATGTTAAGATCGTCTGGAGAGGCCCTGCTCTCAATCCCACCTGTGTCACAAAGACGTTTGGCGGGGACGAGAGACAGGGCCTACTCAGTGGTGGCCCCTCAGCTATGGAATGCCCTTCCTAGGGACATTAGATCACCCCCCTCCCTTTTAACATTCTGGAAAAAAGTCAAGACTTGGCTTTTTGAGCAAGCATTTGAAAATGCAGTGTAACAAACATAGGAATATGGAACAACTGGATGATGAGATTGGACAACGTTTTCACTAGGAGACGCAAATTATTTATGTCTTATTGATCTCTAAGTTACTTCATTAAGTGAATGCAAACATTCCAAAATCTGAAAAAAATCCAAAACATTTCTGGTCTAAGCATTTTATATAAGGGATACTTGGCCTGCTTACCCATATTACTGGTCATAGAACTGTGACTGAGGTATTATGAGTTATGCCAGCCTTACAAAGTAGCCTTGTGTAATACTTGTCTTTTTGTTGGGAGTTAGAAGGAAGTGAATTAACATAGTGAGCAGCAGCAATGATGCAGAGTGGGATGCTGGAAAAAGGTTTCTTACAGAAAATTGCAATGGCACCATTATTAGTACAGAAGGGTGGACAGAAGATAGCATTGTAACACTCTCTTTAAGTGTCTTTTACGGCAAAAAAAAAAAAATTCAGGGGAAACCCATGTTGAGGCATATGCCATTTTCCAGCCCTGCTTTCCTTCTATCAAGTGGCTTTGGCTATTATCCTGTGTAATACCTTATGTATATGTTGCATTAAATAGATCTTCCTTCCATTACAACTATTTTGGGGGCAAAAATGAAAAAGAAATAAGTTTCTAGCCTAAAATTGGTGACATGGAAACAAATGGTTTTCAGGAAAGAAGAAGCAAAATATTTCAAAGCAATGCTTTTTTGGAAGGGAAGGGCAAATTGACATGGGCCTTTTATCAGGAACTATGAGCTTACTCTCAAAAAGTGGCTTTTCTCATTAAATATTAAAAGTGTCATTATGTATGGTTTCTAGAACAAACAATGATGAGAAACTATTTCATTGAACTGTATTAAGTTTTTCAAAGATTTGCTATTTGTTCTTTTACTATATCATTCAAGATAATTGAGAAGTTGTTGTTGTTGTTGTTGTTGTTGTTGTTAGAATTCAGCATATGGAAGATCAAATAATATTCTAAGAATCTACAAATGGAATCAGAAGTTAAAGAAGGTGAAGAAGAGAGCCTGCAAACAGCTTTCAAAAAATTAAGAGTGGATCCTGCTGGGTAGGTGACCATGGTTACATTATTTATTTATTTGTTTATTTTTATCCCACTTTTCTCCCATGGGTGGGATTCAAAGCAGTGAACATTAGGTTGTTTACTGTTCTTCTCACCTGAATGCCTAGAGTTCTCTGGCCAGAGTAGTATAATGTTAAAATATACAATAAACAGTGAATAAAAACAGCACATAATAAAGCCAATAAAAATCAGCAAATACTTGAAATGCCATAGCACATGACATGAAAATAAAACCAATAGCCAAATAGAAGAATGCAAAGTTCTTAAAACAGTTGCAGGTGGAGGAATAAAAAGGCCTTCATCTGACACCAAAATACAATAATATGGGCCCAAGGAGATTCTTTGGAAAGAAAGTTATTCCATAGATGAGGGGACCGGGGGGGGGGGGGGGGGGGGGGGGGGGGGGAGCTTTTCCATGTGTATATGGTGTTTTTGGGATTGTGTTGCTTCATTTCTGATGTCTTAGCTCCCAAGAAAGGCGTCAATTTCTTTTTCAAATAATGTTGCGATCCGTAAAGCTGACTCTAATTTAGGGTGACCCCCATCAAAGCCCTCTTCCAACAATCCAGGCCATTATACTATGCTGGCTCTATTTCAAGATATACTTTACTGAAATAATGGATACAGGCAGTCCCCAAGTTACAAACAAGATAAGATTCTATAGGTTATTTCTTAAATTGAATTTGTATGTAAGTCAGAACAGGTACATTTTTATATAGGTTTTGGATAGCATAGTGAAGGGCTATAACCCCTGTGGAGTTTGTATTGCTATCTGTGCCACTGTTCAAAAGATTTCATTTCATTTTCTGTCCCTGTAATTAATTGGATTTTGAAAAATTTGGCTCAAGCTTCAGTCGAGACACCTTTTTCCCATGATAATTCTTGGCAATTAAAGTGGTCTCAAATTGCATTAATTCTGCAATGAAGATGTGCCCAATGTCACACTTCCCATCCACATGTTTATGGATAGGCAATAAAATGGAAAATCATAATGGACAATCATATAGACTAATAGAAATAATATGTGGAATGTTTGTTTTAACATCTTTTATACTCTTTCCTAAACAGCTCTGCCTCTTTGAGTGAAGGACTGAGGGCTCCAGTAAGAACTGCTGTTGATGGAGGCAGGCATCAATCTGGCTGTTCAAGGGAAACTTGGCATGGGTAAGCTTAATATACAAATGATACTATTGATTATGGCTACCCAGTTGTTGAGTATGACCTATAAAGTCCTATATGGCTCAGGTCCACGCTATCTAAAGGATCATCTCTTTCCATATGAGCCTGTACAAGCTCTAAAATCTCCAGAGGAGGCACTTCTCTGGATTCCACCTTCTCCTTTGCTTATTTCAGACTTTGTAATTTCTTCTCTAGGGAAGTTCAGATCACTCATTTGCTGTTTTTTCATCAGCAGGTGAAGACCTTTCTATTCCAGCAAGCCTTTGGGAATCGTTTGCTGTTAAGGAAAGAGACTTTATCTGCAGTGTTTTTAATCTTTGTGTTAAATTGATATTAGAAGTGGTTTTTATTCTGTAGTTTTTAACTATTGTGTTTTTATTGTAATTTTCTGTCTTATATAAGATGCCTTGAGTCTTAAGTCTGGAAAACAATGAAGTAAATATAGTTCTTTCTCATTGTATTGGGGGATTTTTTTAAATAGGGGTTAAAGGGGCATGAATCAATTGGAATGACAAAATGCTGCTTTTTCATTCACAGAAGATAGCTATGTTAATATTGGGATACTTTTCTATTCCCGTTTCTGTTAATAGTACTTTCTTCTATTTCAGGTGTTCAAGGAAACCCATAAGAGGGGCAACAAGGCCACAGCGTCGCAGGCGCTCCAAATCTCCTGTCCTGCATCCCCCCAAGTTTACATACTGCAGCATGAAAGCATCTTCTGCGGGTAACCAGCTGAAGCACAAAAGCCAGATTGATGCTTCAAAGAACAAAACTGGTCCAGATCCTGTTGTTACGGAAGAGCCACACTTGGGAGGAAAGAGATGCCCGCTTTTCGACAGAAGCAAGTGCAGTAGAGGCAGAGAGGAACACCAGTGCACTTTTAGCAGTGATCAGCCTTTGGAGAACTCGAGGAAGACTTGTCCTGCCTTTTCTTTGACATTTGAAAGCCACCTGGATCCCAGCCAACCATCAGATTTCCAGTCGCTTTCCAAGCTGAGTAATGAGAAGCAATGCCCATGTGTGGACAAGGAATGCGAATGCAAACCATGGCACGCAATAAAAGCATATTCATTCTCTGGTTTGCGGAGCGTCTTGTCGGAATGTGAAAAGGCCGTCTTGGAAGTCCGTTCACACTCTTTGCCAAACCGATCACCATCTGGTATGGGTTCCTCAGGTTCTGCTCGGTCTTGTTCTGAGCAGGCTCGGGTCTTTGTGGATGATGTGACTATTGAAGATCTTTCGGGGTACATGGAATATTACTTATATATTCCCAAGAAAATGTCCCACATGGCAGAGATGATGTACACTTGATTTGAGAGTTATGCATGGGTTGGAAACCCAGTGGTGGTAGTGAGATACTCCCTCAGTGCCATGATTGGAGATGTGTTCATTTGTCATTGCGGCATGTTTGATCAAAACTTTATTAGCTCCATGCAGCATAGTTTTTTAAATAAAGTTTTAAAAAGAGACAATTTCTGTAATAAAGATGCATAAAATTATCCTGGGTTTAGTTTCCCCCTTGGTTCATTCTGATATTAAATCAGTTTCTTGAAGTAACAGTTTAAAAAAAAAAAATACTGCTCTGTCTAAATTTGAATGTGCTCAGGGCCCAGGAAATTCTAATCTGCAATTGAAAATTATTGAGCTGCATTGTGATATAGATAAGCCATTTCAAGGGACAAAAAAGTTAATGTGTTTCCTTACTGCTCTTTTACAGAAAAAGCAGGTTTTCAGGTCAGACTGAACTGAGATTGTGTAAGAAGCGGTTTGGCATGAGAAGGGATGTGCATAACCTCTCTGAGCAGTTTTGCTGGCCTGCAACCCTTCTGGCTTTCTTTAATGCATCAGTTGCTTTGCCTGGAGAGAGCCCTACAAATCAATTTCGAATACTTTGGCCAACATGAATGTTGGTCAGCATTTCAGTGAGAAGTGTTATGTATAGGCTTTAAAAGAAAACAGCCCCATACTGTACTGCTCCCTATTCCTGATAGTGCTCCAATCCTGGATTTTCTTGTTGAAAGATTCTCCTCATTTTGAAAGGGTACAGACTTTAGTTTCAAAAGGAGTCTTGCACTGTTTCTTTGTCGGCCACTGTTCTACTCTTCCTTCATTATTTTCTGTTACTTCAAAGTAGATTCTTATGCTGAATTTATGAATGATTAAAAGTGGACTTAAATCCAAAAGCACTGCTATGGACACATTGTGGACATTTGTTGAGTTATCAGATTTCGGCTTCTTCTTAGCAAGCGTGGTAATAAGTGTTGAGGGATATTGCTAGATTTCATTTGGATATGTCAAACACATTTATCCTGCTTTTTTATCAGTGGATAAGCCATTTGCAGCCTGAAAAAGGTCTGCCTCCCTCTCCCCTTCTATAGCACCTTACAAAGGAAAGTAGATTAAGGCTTAAATCTGATTGTTTATCAACTAGAGTAAAGGCACTGAATCAATGGGAGCTTGGTAAGTCTGTGCTGTGTATGTTCCAGTGGTTCATTGTCTATTCTAGATGAGACTTAACAGCTTGATTTAGGCCTAACAATACAAATCTACAAATAAAGAATGAAGGTTAAATATGTTGCACAAGCTTACAAATTAGGCCAAAGGGAAAACTCTGTTCCACTGATTCTTCTTTATGCCTTTCTTAAAGTTGAGGTATAATGCTCTCTTTACAAAAAATTAAAATATTGTGCTCTTGTTGTGAATTTTGTAGTTTGTTTCTAAGCTAGTACAATTTACCTATGAGTCTGAATATTGAAAGCAGCCATTTATATCATGAACCTCTAGTAAGAGGAACATGGACAACTAGCCAAATGTTTCCAAACATAGCCACAAATACAGGCCCCTGGCAAGAGGGAGTCTAGAAAGAAATCAATGTTATTTTTTAGGATTTTAAAGAAAGTGATTTGGATGAGCATAGTGTTCTTGAACGAGAAAGAGAAAAGAAAGTGGAGCAGCTAAAAATGTTATTTGCTTAAGGTCCTATACCACTCCTGCCTTAAAAGAGAGAATTAGTTACTAGAAAAGATGGGTCAGATAAGCATGTGGATGATTTCATTTCTTGATGCGAAGCTGTGCCATGCAAATCCCATTGAAATCAATGCTGTACTTTGAAACGTATCTATGCCATACAAATCCCATTGAAAATGAGTCCGACAATTTGCTTTCTTTTCACAAAAACTTGTATAGGAGGACTTACTAACGGATTGTGTTCTTGATGACTATGTCATATAAGCTGAATATGTGGCCTGGCTCCATAGCCTGCGGTGATCAATGTACATGTACACATTGCCACTTTTTGCTGCAGTTGTTTACATGATATAGAGGTGTTTCCTCCCCTGGATGTCAGTATTAGTCTCTGCACCATGGTGTCTAATTATTGCTGTAAAACTTTTTAAAGGATTTAATTAACTTGTTTGCGTAACCTTGTTTTATTGATGATGAGCAGCGTCTGTATTTGAGCATCTCCAATCATGTAGGGAAAATACATAGGCTATGATGGAATAGCTGAATCACCCACAGCCTTGTGAGCAACTTGCCTTGGAAACCATGGTAACCCAGCCCACTTTAGAGGGTCTGAACCTACGCATAATGAAATCAGACTAAACACATAGCCTGCCATTTCCAGTTTTTCCGAGGATGAAATTTGCCTTGCCATTGTTTTGTTAAGAAAAACCTGGTGCTACATTAATGGAGTTTCTGAAGCAAAAGACCTAATGTTTTGGGATCATTTTCTCTTATGCATTTTAGGGCTCTAGGAGAACCATGAAAAGCCATTGCTGTAGCCAAAAATATAAGACAAGGCTAATTGCATCTATTTTAATTGAGCAGAAACTTGTCCTTATTATCATCTTAATAAGTACCAGGCAACTGGAAGTACCTTTATATGAAGCTTTTAAATAAACCAGTAGATGGAGCTTTTGGAACAGTTCTCAAGGCTATACAGTTCTCTGTTTTCCTATACCTTTGACTGCAACTTAGTGTGCAAAACTAAAGGAGGTAAAACTAACTTTACCTTGATTTTGGGAAACATTTCATTTGCTAAATCTCTGCTTTTAAGTCTTCTTCCTGTTAAAGGCAAAGTAGGAAACCAAACAGTAAACCTGCCCTGTTAGAAGCATATGAACTGGTAGTTTCAATTACTAAAACTCTCTCAATAACATTTACCTGTCCTATGTTAAATATAAATTATTCAGTGGATGTATGAAGATGCAACTCAACATTCAGAAACATTTAGTTTACAAAGGGAAATGAATCTAGGCGCTATTAGCTGGTTAAATGTGTCTTAGCTGGTTAAATGTGCAGTCGTTAAGCCATAATTACATCCTAGAATGAAATTTGTCTTTCATATCCATGGATTCAACCATCCACAGCTTGAAAATACTTATTTTTAAATCCAAAAAGCAAAGCTTGATTTTGCCGTTTTTATAAGGGCCCCCATTTTACGAGGGTGAATGAAAAGTAATGGCTCCACCTTCGTAACTCCTCAACAGATGGCAGTACTGGTATGCGGCAGGTACTGGCGTGTTCAGTAGACTCCTCTACAGTTCCATTTTGGCAGGAAGACTTAGCATTGAATGGTTGTGGTTTTTATAGTGCGAAGTATGGAAGGAACCCTGCTCAGACAGTCGGTCAATGCAACTTAAGCAACAGGCAGTCATTGAATTCTTGACAGCAGAAGGTGTCACCTCAAAGGAGATTCATCAGAAAATGCAAGCTAATTATGGTGATTGTGTTGATGTGAGTACTGTGCATCATTGGGCGAGTAAGTTTAAAGATGTTGAGGTGGGAACATCTGACTTGCGTGACAGAGTTGGATGTCCTGTGACAGCAACCACCGAGTTTCACAAGCAAAAGGTTGACAGATTGATTCAGGACAATCATCATATCACTCAAGAGAGAAATTTCAAGCATAATCGGCATTTCACAAGAACATGTGGGTCACATTATTGCTTTGCTTGGCTATTGGAAGATCTGCGCAGTTGAAACAGTGTCGACTTCTTCCATGACGGCTTCAGAAAACTTGTTCATTGTTGGCAGAAATGTACCCAATTGTCTGGTGATTATGTGGAAAATGAATAGTGGTAGTTAAAGAGCACATTCTAAGGATTATTTCTGTGTTTGATTTATTAAAATATTCCCATCCAAAGCCAAGTAACAAAGGTGGAGGCATTACTTTTCATTCAACCCTCGTATATAACAAGACTTGAGAATACATGGATTTTGGTATCCACAGGGGAGGCATTTTAGAACCAAACCCCACTGTATTCCAGAATATTTAATAATGAATCTTCAGCTTCTAAGTATTACATGCTGCAACTTTGCAAAACTTGGTGCCCTCTATATGTGTTCTACTGTCCCTAGTTGCCATAGTTTGTGGGATCTCAAAAAGGAAGCGTGCCAAGAGGTCGTTTTCATGGATGTTGCTGGAAAAGCTTGGAAGATGTAGGGCCAGCCTAGAGCACAGGGTGTCAATACTTCATTTCATGCCTGCACAGTTGTCCCAGAAAATTAGTTTCCTGCAACATCTGAGAGGGCATGTTCCTTAACCCTGGCAAATCCTTGGACAACATGACCTTCTAGATTCAGTGGAACTGAAATTTCCTCACTTTTGTTGCCACTTGCTTGCTAGAGAACATGGACACAATGACTATTATATCTGTTCTTCATCTGTGGACAAAAGAGTGGAGACAACAAAACTAAGAACAGCTGAATTGGGGGCCAGCAACATAATGCATATAATAGGCTTTGTAGTGGGGCATGAGCCCCTGTAGGTTCCTGACCATTGCCAGCTTGACATGATTGACCAGTAGGGACCCTGAGACCTTCCAGATCAAGTTGGACACAAGTTCTCACCAACCCTAGTTGGCATGGCCAATGTGGTGGTGCAAAGGACTTGAAGAGCCCTATCCTAAAGGTACTAGGCCACAATGAAAGCTTTCATGTGGCCAAACCAGATGTGAATTCTATAAGCTTTTGACTAAGTGAAGAGAATTCCTATTTTCCATATTTGTTTTTGAACTTAGATCTATATACTTGTACTTGAACTGCGATCTACGCTCATTCAGAATATCCGCCACAGGAATAGATATTATTTTTAAACTATTCTCATCATCCCTTCTTATGCGGGGACATGAGAGAAGCCTCCCACAAGGATGATAAAAACATCAATTCATCCATCCCCTGGGCAATGTCCTTGCAGATGGCCAATTCTCTCACACCAGAAGCGACTTGCAGTTTCTCAAGTCGCTCCTGACACGACAAAAAAAAAAAATCATCCCTTCCATGGAATATGCTGGTTATGGCTGAGGAGAATTCCCAAGTCTTAGGTTGGCTCTCAGGGCCCTTTTACACTGCCATATAAAATCCAAATTGTCTCCTTTGAATAGAATTATATGGCAATGTAGACTCATATAACCCAGTTCAAATCAAATAATGTGGATTATCTGCTTTGATAATCTGAATTACATGGCAGTGTAGAAGGGGCCTTTTATTCCCTTAATTCAAAAGTAAATTGCTTCTGAATATGAAGGTTCCATCTAGCTGACAGAATTTTAATACCTCTTGGTAGACATATCTTGGAATGTGTTTAATCTTTCCTAGTACTTCCAAAATGCCAATCTCCATCTGTGAAACCTCGAAATCTGAAAAGTGGGTGGGATTCTGGTTCAGAAACTTCTCATATTTTGCAGAAGGGAAAGCAGAAACACACAGCCATTTACAAAAGACAACAAACCCCACAAAAAACCCAAAATCTCAATGTGTGAACCAAAATACATTTTTTTGGCTGGTAAAGGTATCATTCTCATGTGGATTTTGTGGGTACCACTTAATGTGTTTCCAGCAATTTACACAATCAGTCTTTTGGGGTTGCACCCGAATAGGGGACATTGCTATCAGAATTGTCACCCTTGCTGGCTCCTAGAGCAAGTTAACCCTCTGGCATTCCTTTATTTCATTGGTTCCCAACTGTGGTCTGTGGACCCACCGTTACTACACTGTTGCCTTGAAACCACACAGCAAGGAGAGCGACTGGTCTCGCAAATTGCTCTTATAGTGCTGAGGCAACAGGGATGTCAGTAGGGGAGAGGCTGACTACCCACGAAAGATTACTACCACATCAGCTCTAGATTATTAGATATGGTTTTCTGTGGGTAAGCAGATGGCAACTACTGGATGGCATATGTTCTGTATCAGAAACAAGACCTGATGTGATCTATCCAATGCAATTTTCTGAATCCACATCCCAAACAATCAAACTGAATCTAAAGTTGATCAAACACTAATTCTAACCCTTTTTGGTACTAATGTTGGAGAGTGGTCCCTTGTCAAAGTGGTCCCTTGTCAACATGGTCCCTTGTCAACATGGTCCCTGGTCAAAGTGCTCCCTGGTTAAAGTGCTCCTTAGTCAAAGTGGTCCTTAGTCAAATGGTCCCTGGTCAAAGTGGTCCCTGGTCAAAGTGGTCCTTGGTCAAAGTGGTCCTTGGTCAAGTGGTCCCTGGTCAACATGGTCCCTAGTTGAAATGGTCACTGGTCAAGTGGCCCCTGGTCAAAGTGGTCCCTAGTCAAAGTGGTCCTTGGTCAAAGTGGTCCTTAGTCAAAGTAGTCCCTAGTCAAGGTGTCCCTGGTCAAAGTGGTCCCTGGTCAAAAGGTCACTGGTTTTAATAAAAGGTTGGGAACCACTGCTTTATTTGGAAAGGTTTCTCTGCGTGCTCTGTTTTCTCCAATTTGGATAAAAGAGGAGGTGATGCAGGCCCTCCAGTCAAGTGTAGAGGAACCCGTAGGTCAGGTGGCACTGCCTGTCTGTTGTGTCTGAGATTGGAACAATGGATGAGCAGTGCAGCAGAGTGTCTCCCTGGATGGGAAGGGGCTGAGATTTTACGCACGCGCGCGCGCGCATTCAAAGCAGACCCAGCGCGCGCGCGCTCCATCCCTTCTTCTCTCCCAGAACCAAATGCTGCTGCTGCTGCTGCTCCGGCTGCCCCAGTCTCCCCTCTCCCTTGCCAATCCGGAGTGAGCTATGCAATCCAGCCCCTGTGGCTCTGGGCATGAGGCTGCTTCCATGAGCCCCATGTGATGCTGCTCCGATAGTACAGCCGCTGCAGTTCTTCCTCCTCCTTCCTTCCTTCCTTCCTCCCTTCCCTCCCTCCCTCCATTCCTTCCTCCCGTCCTTCCTTCCTTCCAACTATCTCAGGCTGTCATGGCGACTCCCAACAATGTGACTCCCACCAACTGCAGCTGGTGGCCCATTTCGGCCCTGGAGAACGAGGCGGGCCAGTCCACCGAGGGCGAGGAGAACCAGGATCCGACCCACCCGGCTTTCCGATCCAAGGACAGGCTGGTGTTGTATCATTGGACCCAGTCCTTCAGCTCACAGAAGGTAAAGAAGTAAAGAAATACAAGGGGAGGGA